GACAGAGAGACAGAGACAGAGAGACAGAGAGACAGAGACAGAGAGACAGAGACAGAGAGACAGAGACAGAGAGACAGAGACAGAGAGATGGAGACAGAGACAGAGAGACAGAGAGACAGAGACAGAGAGAGAGACAGAGACAGAGAGATGGAGACAGAGAGAGAGACAGAGACACAGAGACAGAGACAGAGAGACAGAGACAGACAGACAGAGACAGAGAGACAGAGACAGAGAGACAGAGACAGAGAGACAGAGACAGACAGAGACAGAGAGACAGAGACAGAGAGACAGAGAGACAGAGAGACAGAGACAGAGAGACAGAGAGACAGAGACAGAGAGACAGAGAGACAGAGAGACAGAGACAGAGAGACAGAGACAGAGAGACAGAGACAGAGAGACAGAGACAGAGAGAGAGAGACAGAGAGACAGAGACAGAGAGACAGAGACAGAGAGACAGAGACAGAGAGAGAGAGACAGAGAGACAGAGACAGAGAGAGACAGAGACAGAGACAGAGACAGAGAGACAGAGACAGAGAGACAGAGACAGAGACAGAGAGACATACAAAAAGTAAAAACATATTTATGAAAACTATTTAGAACAAACTATTTTGTTTTGTTGGGTTGATTTTGTTTAATACAAAATGACCAAAGATACACTTTTATAGGAAACCATTTTAAAATGTTTGTGTTGTTTCCTGAAAAACTTGACTAAAAAGAAGATTTTTACACCTTTAAAAAAAACTGGGATTTTTAAAGAGATTTATTTGGAGAAAGCACCACAAAAACGTACTTTTAAAGTACAAATTTGAGAAGATGCAGAGGTGACCACAATCCACCAGGCTGATATTTTGTTTTGGGCCTCTGAGTTTAAAAATATCTATGCCAGCGTGTCTTGTAAAATCTGGGGATTTTTACATTACGGACCCTGTTTATAGCACAAATATCCATCCTCTCCATCTTTATATTACTAACTAACTTTCTCAGAAGTGGGCTTTAGAGGCACTTTATTGTAATTTTACAAACTGAATCCTAAAATTGTTTTTTAAAGTTACTGGTTCATTCCAACAAGTTAAATAATGCCTTATTAAACGGAATTTATATACACAGCGAATAAGATAATTAAACTTGATTTAATAAAACAGACATTTTCTGCATTCTTTGTTTTCTGAATTTGATTTTTTTTTCTTCTCTATGTTCAGGATGGGAGTTGGGGCTGCAAAGAAGCGAGGACCACCCTGAACATTGTTCCTCACAGGTTTAACAACAGAGACACACATTAAACAAATGCCATGTACACAAGCTAACACTTTTTAAGTCAATTTATAAACACAAAAATGGACCTAAAGTGCGTGATTTTTATTTGTGGGGAGGAGAAAACCCACACGAGCACAAAAAAACAAAACCTGTATCATCAAGATTCAGACCACAAACCTTAGTGATGCTAATCACTGCACCGCCTCAATTTTCAGCATCTGTATTTTAAAAATAATGATTGATCAGTTAAAATCCTATAATACAGCAACAACAAATTACCTGTAAGTGAACATAATCTGAATTAGGTTGTTCTATATTTTGCCTCAAAAAGATAGATCTCAGTGTTCGATCAGCCTTCAACCCTGAGTTTTATACACATTTAACCCCATTTGTACTGAGCCCAAACCACCACACTTCCTCTCAGTTTACTGTCAGCTCAAATGTTGCCTGAGAGAGACGAAGCATTCTTTTCCCATGAGTTCAGCTCACCTGGAATGCAGGCAGCTCAACATTGTTATCTCATTCTAACAAGCAGGACGACACAGAGCTGTAAAACAAAAAAAGAAAAATCTTTTCATCTCACCGTGCACAGAAACCACAGGACACCTATCCTGTCTCACAGTGCCTACAGGTGATGAAGATGATGGGAAGAGGATGAGTGAACAGATAAGTTAGAGACCAAAGTTCAGGGAGAGGTAAGAGCTGGATGTAGGGCCTACTTCCATGTGCTGTTTGGAGAATAGATAGTGAAGATGGGTTTAATGAGTGACAATGAGTTTTTTTTTTAAGTGAACTTCAGTTCTACACAGACTTTAATAATATCTGCTCAATAAAATAAAAAAAAAGAATACAATTCTAGCTGATTTTAGGATTATGGTAAGAGTCAAATGTTTCRATACTAAATGTAATGAAAACAGCAGGGTAAAAGTAAAATACACCACACTTCCAGGTTCACCCCAGCAAGGACGACCAATCATAACTCAAAGAAAATGTATGTAATAAATTGATAAAACGTAAGCAAATATTACAAATAGCACCGACAAGACGTCAGTAACTACAGGATCAAAGTTGGTCACTGATCAAACAGTTCTGAAAAGCTCTTATAAAAGCATATATCACACAAACACGCTAAAAAGAAGGCATTTGAGATGAAACTAAGGAAAAATGATGAGAAAAAAATTATTGAAAATAAATATATTTGATTAAAAATGTTTTTAATTATTAAATCGCTTTAAGTAGTCTTAATTTTTCCACCTGATGTTTTCTGCTTTGATTTTTATTTGACAGCCACGACAGGAATTCTTCTACGCTTTAACCGTCTTGTTTATCTTTTATTGCAAGATAGAGATTAGTCACAGCTTCATCACAGAACCTCTGCGTTGCCATCCCTGATTCTCACAATGTAGGCCCAAACTGACCTTTGACCCAAGACCCTGAATGCTTGAGTGACCGGGGAGAATCTGAAAACCCCTGCCTTGTACATACGGGTGTTTGGGGGGTGGATTTGTATGAACCTTAGTCAGTGGGTGGTATCATATGGGTAAGAATAACATTTGTTATTATCGTCCAACAAAACAGTAAATTTCACTTAATGAGCAAAGTATTTATCTTTAAGCATCTGTTCATCTCTACATAGTTTCTTATAATGTGTGAGAAACACATTCCATCATAATTACGGTCAAAAGTCAGAGGCAGGGTAAAAACAGGAAGTGGTTTACTTGCTAATCTCCATTTCAGAGTAGCCTGGTGGGCGCTGCAGCTCTAACGTGTCTGATGTTGCAGGCCGTCAGCTCTCTCCTCCTCTCTACCCTGTTCAACATCAGCAGCCAACCTGCCTTTGAAGTATCACTCTGCTCACCCCGGCCCCCTCCTCCGGGGATGTGGGGCTGCCTTCGACGGGGCTCCCTGTCCCGGGACGAGTTCCCTCAGCCGTGACTCTGACCAGGTGAGGGTGCGACAAAGGGACAAGAGTCGGCACCAAAAGCTGAGCAGAAGCCGGCCGTTTCAACAGATACGGGCTTTTTGAATGACTCTCCCTGCGATGGATTAGACTTCAAGGTGGATCTTAATGAGGACTGCAATGAAAGAAACCATAGGTTTATCACATGGTTGTCATGACAACTGTGTCTACTTATAGCAGCGCTGGTTCATGGCAAATCCCTAACACACACACACACACGGCTGCAAACCCTACGCCTCCTGAGTGCGCTCCCCTCCCCCCACTCTGGAAAGGGTCTGGCTGTCCAGCCTGCATTGGCTGGCTTTTGTTTGAGGCCTGACTCAAAGAGCATATGGCAGGTGCCCCTCAGCACACAGAGCTTCCCCACCCCCGGGGCACTGAGGCCTTCGCATGTGCGCTCAGTGGCCGACATGACTGACTTTCTTGTTCTTAGTTGTTTCAGCGTGGTGGTCTTTTTTGTTGTTGTTGYTTGAAAACTCTTCACTGAATCAGGGTTCGTGAATTAAAAAAAAGAAAAAAAAGGATTTGGGATCCAACAACAGAGACATCACAAAATAATCGCTGGTCATAATAATAAAAAAAGAAACAAGTGCAAGGTATACACAGATTTAAAACAACAAACAAAAACACATTAATGATGTCATTCATGTTATAATAAAAAAAAAAGCTGCAGTATGCAGAACTCTGTGGACCCAAACCTGCCAGGAAGACTGATGTGACCACTGACTTCACCAAATTTAACAGGTTTTAAATGCGAACATACCAGGGTTCTTGTTTGTCTTATTGACTGTTCTCCAGACACTAAATAAGTGGACAACAGTCAATTGCAATCAGTCCCACTGGGTTTTTTTTTAACTGACCATTAGCTCACTTCTGTAAAAAAAAGGGGGCTTATCCACGGGCTAACACATGCACACACAAGTGCTCACTAAACACACACATACAATAGAGTAACAGGATTAAACAGTGACTGCTGAGAGGCACAAAAGAGGAACAGATTAATTAACCAAGTGTGGAAGCCAGGAAAGTTAAAAGAAAGACAATCGTGTGAGTCAAAAGGAAGCCACAGACCAAAGCAGGCCGTTCAATAAACGGGCGAGATTCCAAAGCACCTCAAGATAGATGAAAATCTAAGTCAGCTGTGAATCAAACACCCTTTCAAGTCTTCATCAATCATGACAGAGACTCCCCAGAGTSCTGGAGGAGTCGGGAGCAGGAGAACAGAAAGCAGAGAGCCCCACGAACTGAAAGCTACACTCCCGAGTACAGAAAACCTGTTTCATCTTTAAGAAATTTTAAAAAACAAAACTTTCTACAAGCTGGGATGATTCTCACTGTGCCTAACTAAATGAGCAAACTCTGAAACTTATTCTTTAATTCTCAAAGGGTTATTTTTAAATTACATTTCTTAAGTCTCACTTCTTACTGCATAGACTCTGATTGAAGACTGTATGCGACCACACACACAAACACACACACACACACACACACACACACACACACACACACACACACACACAAGCTCTGTTCCAGACTCCTACTTTGACAGGATCATTAGTCTAATTATCCATGATGCCAAGGGCTGCATTAATGCATGGAAAACCCTCACAGTCTGCTAATCACCAGACAGACATTGAGACTGTAATAAGAACCACACAACCGGCACCGTGCATCAGCAGGCGAAGGGTGATTAACACACCTGCTTCACACAAAAACACAAAGATTTCACGGCAAAGAGGTGAAACAGGACCTCATCAAACTAAACCACTTATGTTCAGGAATAATTTTGGCTTGAGGAGGGATGTAGCTAAAGTAAGTTTCGACCACAAAAGCTGCTTGTTTCTCCTTCTGCTCTATCAGCTGATGTTTAAACAACACAAAGCGTCTCGTCTCTTTACGACAAAAAGAGACAAGAAGTGAATCTTTCTGGAGATAGCGAAATGTAAATCAAACATTTTGATGCAAGATGTTTTGTCTTTATAGGTTATCACACACTTATCACCGACTGACTCAACAGCAGGAAAAACTCAGATCTTCAAAGACAAACTTCCAGAAGTTACACATCTCTTCAAGCACAAGAAAAAAAAAGACATTTCAGCAAGCGTTAAATTGTTAACATTGTCCTAATAAGCACAGACGCGGAGCTAAAGGTGAGAAAAAAAACACGTTCTTGAGCATCACCTAAATTAGCCACGTCGCAGGAAGTGCTTCAACTTTTACGCCATGAACACACTTTAGAAAATAACACAAAAGCTGTTTGTACAAGGTTACCGATTATTATTATGAGTCTAAATAAATAAAACTAAACACAGGCAGCTAAAAGTGAGTGGATTTCTTCACTTACTRGCTAGCAGCAGACAGGAGAGGGCGATGACGTAGAGCTGTTTGACGGCAACATCGTAGTGGTCCATGAACAAGTCCAGCAGGTAAACGGCCAGATGACGTGCTGTGGGGCAGAGCTGGTAGCGATTACTCAGGATGGCCAACAAGTCTGCAAAGTAGCGCCGCATGCCGATCTGCGGGGAGTGGGCCCGGTAAACCGGCAGCTTCAGCTCCTGGAAGGAGAGAAAAGTGAGGAAAGAAGGGGTTAAATGACAGGATGGGAGAGATGCGGGGTGGGCAGGAAGTAGTGAAGAAGCAGTGTGGGGGGGTTGTAAGGAATATACAAAATAATAAAATCTCCAGCTGGTGAGTTTAACAGGTGAGTTGTGAGGCAAAAAAATGCTCAAAACATGAGAACCACTAATTAATATGGAAAGTTCTTCTGCATTTAGTTTTATAGACATGAATGCGACAGAGGACTGGAGCTAATTTGGGTCAGTGCAGGGGTCCGTGAACAATGSGGGTGAGGGTTTGTAGTTTTGGGAGGGATGTGGTGGGGGGTCTTCCTTCAGCGGAGTTCAGCAGCAGATAGGATTAGGTTTCACCCCTAACACATCTCCTATTCATGTTCAATTAGCTGCATGTGTTTCAAAAAGGAAAGACGACACTKGGAGGCATTAACATATGAGAAGACCTGGGCATCCAATCAGCTCCGAAATACACAACGTTCTWGTTTCAATATACGCCTTAGGAGCAGAACGTGTTTAAAATGGCAAATTTATAATGCAGCTCTTTTCTGTTTTTAAACTGCTTCATTATTTTTGATCCATACTCGGTAAAGCAAAAACAAGAGGCTTGGGATTTAATAAGAAATCTGCAGATTGGTAGATTAAGCTCTTTAGGATTGTGAAACGTTCTTCAGAGTAGAAATACAACAAAAACAACCTTGTGACATCAGGGCTGTTGAGGAATATCAGAAATGTGCACATTACAAAAAAAATTAATCCTAATCTAGCTGCAGATTATCATGGATAAATAAATCCCCAAAATAATGTTCAACTATTTTTCCTCAAAAAAAAAAAAAAAAATTAAAAGAAGCATGTTAGGTCAACATCAAAGGCCTAAAAATAGGAAAATTAAYCATTTTAAGGATTATAACTCTTGTCTGGGGGGGGGAATAAAGTTCTTAGAGATTAATCTATTGTAAAAATAGAAGTTGGATGCAGTCCAACTAAGRTGACAGAAAAACATGTTTACAGTCAATATCATTAGCTGCGAGGGCAAAACACGATGAGGGTAACACAAACTGTCAAAAACGAATTTTGAGCACAACTAAAACAACAGTGATGCTCAGACCGATGCTTCAGTGGAATCCATAAATAAACACCACACACACACACACACCAACACACACCCCCCAGCACCACCCCCGGTGCTCTGACTTCCCATATCACCCAAAAAAAACTCTCCTCCCACTGCCTCTGGTCCATCTGTCTGTCTAGGGGTGCAAGGGCAGCAGGGGTAAGTAAGGGGGGCTGAGTGGTTGAAGGGAGGAGGTTGCAGAGTGTAAAGGGCTCCAGGGTGATGGTGGCGGCGGTGGTGAGGGGTTGCCTTTGTGGGGGAGCCGCACCATAATTAAGGATTCCACAGCTGCCTACTGATTTGCATGTCTGATAATTTGCCACATGCTACGCACCAAGCACCGCTATCTCCCACATCAGGGCATTATCGCTGCAGCGAACGTCATTAAGGCTGGATGAGACGGCGGTGCTGGTGTGTCGAGGGGTGCAGGCGCCACACAGGAGATCTGGAAACGCTGCGTGAGGGTCTGATAATGATTTCGCCTTTCTTCTCGGCAACAAAATTCACTGCACTTTGAAATTACACGTTCCAGAATACATCCAACAATCTCCACCATCATCAGAGCGCTTTTTTTAAAAGCACTAAGAATCGTATTAATAAAACTACTCAGTGTGATGTTGTGTGGGGGGAAAATGGATAATTTTTTATGTCACTTTAAAGTTGGATTTGTTGCTTAATTCAATTAACAAAATTCAAAAGTAATCATTTAAAAAGTAGAAATTTATTCTTAGTGATCAAACAAAATACTTTGGTTACTATTATCTATTTTTTGATAGCAATTTAAGAGTTATTTTACTGTCTGATCTGCTTGTTTCTTGCAGCAAACTTTAAGAAAACTTGTGGTTTTTGCTCCACTTTCATCTGGTAACTTTTTATCGTGCTTGTTTTGTGCTGCATTTTTCAGAATGCCATTAATCCAACCTACTTTACAGTATTCATTTTACACACAATCTGATTATTAAACTTAGTTACTTTTATGTTTCGTTGCGATGAACTGTCCCTTACACAAGAATTGTTTTGCCTTCTTGGTGAAAACTGTCACAAATAAATCTAATTTATGATCTAGTTTAGTCATTAAACAACGTTTCACAATTTAAAAAAAACCTAATAAACTCTCTACAACACACCAGCTCAACAGGTTTTGTTTTTTATCCAGTTTTCCTTGCAGGGCTCACCACAGTCGAAGACTTGGCAACTGTTTTACACCGGATGCCCGTCATGATGCTACCTGGGCTCAAACCCGCATCCTCAGGATTACAWGACTGACCCAAAGTTTTTTTACAACCACAACACCCGTCATCCCAWTTACAGGATGACTAATAAAAACCCATGTGTGCCAAAGCAGGCCGCTCAAACTCTTTGTCTCAACAGCTCATAGGTCACACTATGAAAAAGTCATTAAAATTAGGGGAAAACCCCCGATGAAAGTGGCCTGGCTCTTGTAACAAAGGCAGGTTTTAAAGCTGTTTAACACAATGATGCGAAGTTGTAAAATCATCTCCACCTGAGTGTCACTTAATATTTCATCTAATCATCAGTTTACAACAAGGTAATAAAGTACATCAAAAATGCAGTGAGGCTGCTGCTTCTGGTCTTATCACCAAAACCAAGCATCAGGACTGACAGGAACTCCTTCTCCCACAGCAGAAAATGTGGGCGTGCTAGTTTCTAGCTTCGATTTTTGTTCTTACTGACAGTCAGGTACTCTCCATCATGAGAAAACCGAATCAGACGGCGTCTGAAAGTGACTGATTTACAATCTAAGGCACCCCAGTCCTATAAAGACACCTGATATCCACGCCCTCATCTGTCTTCATCGCCTTCGGGACGTAGATTACCCACAGCAGTCCCAGCTTGAGAATGCCAGTCGAGTCACAGATGCCTCCATTAAAGCGACACATGGGAAGAAATATGATCCCACGTTGAGGTWCATTAAGATCCTTCTAATTATTCAGTGTGAAATCCACAGTGCAGTTACATTTAAGTCAGGTTTCAAGAGACAACAAAGTCGTGTAAATTAAAAAAAAAACGTCCTTAACTTAGCATCAAAAACCACAATTATTTTTATAATCAAAAACTGCTAAATGATCAGGTGAGACAACAAAAATGAGATTTTCTCACTTAAATTAAAAATGTAATGACTCCACCTTAAAGACTGCTTTTTTATAGTAATTACTAATTTGACATTTTGTAATTTCCTGTGACGACAGGAACAGCCAGGCAAACAGCCAACACAGGTAAAGTTTTTGTTACACACGTGCTGTCAAAACAAGGCTGACTCACACGTGCATCAACAACAAAGCTAGCTTCCTGCTGCAATGCAACAAGCTTAAACTCACCTTAATGCGCAAGGACTGATGGATATCCGCGGCTAGCTGTCCTTTCCACCACTGTAGCTCCCTCTCCATCTTTCCCATTCAGAAGAGGTTTGCAGAATCAAGTTTCACCTGCTGAGATGGATGTTCCCCCCAAACGAAACAAAGATCATTCACTTCGGACAGGACTAAAATGAGGAGACAACTACAAAACTGAGAAGTGAAATGTCATATTTACAGACAACGCGAAAGAAACAAGGCTCGAGTTTCTCTCTTCTTGTGAGAACAGCGTAAGCTTAATTACTGGAAGTGAATTAAATGAACCCACGGCTGGCAGAGGTAGAGCCATTCCGTTAAAAAAAGCATCATTAAACAGCTTTATTTCACAGTAGCAGACGTGTTTTTGCTAGCACAGGCCATCCTCTCTGCTCGGGAATTTAAATGGCTCAGTTAAATACCCACTCGACCACGCGGTAGCAGGTCAAACTATTCAAACAACCTCCCTCTTCTTTCTGTTTTTATAACTTCCGCTACGGCTCTTTAGTAAAACACTTTTTTTTTTTTAAATAAATGCTGCTTCAAGGAAGCTTATGTTTCCACGCCGCGCGAGACACAGACAGCGGCCAAAACAGGCGACACAAGTTAACTGGCCACCGAGCTCTGATATTAGCTTCATTTAAAAATTAAAAAAAGACCACWGACACAAACACCGACACTTCCACACTAATTCAGCCTATGTTTCGTGCGGAGCAAAAACCCAGTGAACTTTTCATCTTACATGTGCCACTTACCCACAGCTCCGTCGGGAATGCCCCCCCACCCCCAGACCCCTTTGTCTCAGTCCGACATCCTGAATGAGAGAACTCCTCTTCGGGCTCAACTTTTAAAGAGGACCTCTTTGTGATGCTGGCCGGTAAAACTTCAAATCCGCTAGCGAGACCATCAAACAGCCGCCACCGCCAGAAACCTTCCGACAGACCCTCGGTTCCGCCGTCTAACCCGGACTGTTCACACTTCTTTTCCCCCCAAGACAGAGTCGGCTCTGCCGTTTTCTCTCTCCGGCGGCGGCTTCGCTGAAGTAGCCTGTTCGGCTGCGCCAGCTGCTGCCGCTGAGCTGTGAGCTCCTGCGCGAGACGTTAGTTAGGTCCTTCCTCTGACCTGGGAGTTGTAGTTCTCAGGGGTCAGCGTAAAAACTACAAACAGTAACAGCTCAAAAAAGAACGGTTTATGGTGTACTCTTTCGTTTTATTTATGTAAAACCATCAATATTATGTTATATTATATTATATTATATTATATTATAT